GTTTTCCACAGCTTGTTGAGAATTGAGTATTTCCTTGCCAGAAGTGGTCCAAAGCCTGGAATAAGTGGTAGTCAGTTGGTGTAAGTTCTGGTGAATACGGTGGATGACAGAGAGTTTCTAAGTCCAGCTTCTAGTTTGAGCAGTGTTGTTTTTTGTGACATACGGTCTTGCAAGAAGACTGGTCTGTCTCTATTGACCAATCTCAGCTGCTTAATTACAAGCATCCTCATCATTTTGTCCAACTAGTTGTAGTACACATCCACTGTAATCAATTGACTAGGTTTTGTGAAGCCATAATGGATAATACCAGCACGAGACCATCAAACAGACACCATTAGCTGTTTCTGATGAATATTTGGTTTTCGTCTAAGAATCCATTTTTCATCACATGTAACAATACAACGTAGAAACGGTTCACCTTTATGTCGTGACAGCAAAGAAAGGCAGGCTTTGAGATGAATTCTCTTCTGATGCTCATTTAATTCATGCGGAACCTATCTATCCAGGTTCTTTACCTTGCTGATTTGTTTCAGATGGTCCAATATTGTTGGAGTAGTAAAGGAAACCTTGCTGCTAATTCACGCATAGGTTGAGATGGATTTGCTTCCACTACAGCTTTCAGGTCATCATTATCCACCTTGGTCTCAGATCACCCACATGGCTCATTTTCAAGATTAAAATCACCAAAATGGAACTTCTCAAACCACTGATGTACTGTGTGTTCATCAGCCGTATCCTTCCCAAACACTTAGTTGTTATTTCAAGCACTGCATTGGTTCCACAATGGAACCCATACTTGAAAATAAGATGAATTTTTGACTTGTCCATGGTTTCACAAAAATTGCTCTAAAAAAATTTTTTTTAAAGATAATCATAAGCCAAAATGTGAATTTGAAACAATGAGGATGTACCTTCACACACACACAAGAAAAAGTGTCAAAGTGAAATGTCAGAGACATCAACTGTCAAACTTATACTTAAGGAAATCAGACATTCCATACTTAATAACCTAATATTTTAAAAGGAAAGCAAATGAGACTTCTGAAATGCATCATCAGGTAGAGGAAGACAAACAGGGGAAAGCAGCCCCAATGGGAGAAGGAAGGCTAGGTCAACAACGGTAAACATCAAAAAGAGGTAAGAGTCAATGAGAACTATAAAGAGGCAATAGCATTTGGCAGTTAAGATGCCACTGGTGCCCTCTACCACAGTTAGTTCACTAGAGAAGCAGTAAAAAGGTTCTGAGGTGAGGATTAATTAAAAATAAATGTTTATGGCAGCACAATTCACTATTGCAAGGATGTGGAAACAACCCAAGTGCCTGTCAATTCATGAGTGGATTATTAAAATTTGGTATATGTTT